CCCTCCCCCCATGGGCCCCACTTGCCTGCTGCTGTGCTGGGGGTTGGCGGGGGGATCTGCGGCTGCTGGGGGGTGTTTGGGGGGCTTTGGGGGAGTGGGGGGCACAGCGGGCTTTCACCCGTGCATCTCTCGCCGCACTGGAGCCTAACAGGCTTTTTTGCTGTTGGTGGGCCCTTTTAAACTGCACGCATGTGCAGTGGGCCTGCCGTTGGGGAAACTGCTCTTGGGCAAGGGCCCCCATTTAATCTACAACAGGGGCAGGCAATTATTTCAGGCAGAGGGCTGCTTACTGAGTTTTGGTCATTGAGGGCCACACTACAGGCAGCCAGGGGTGGATATATATTAATTTTCTACATTTTTAGGGGCCCCTCAGACCAGATAGAATGGTCTGGTGGGCCACATCTGGCCCGCAGTCTGCATTTTGCCCACCCCGGTCTACACACACCCGTTGATTTCTATCTTTCAGTAATTCAAAGACTTCTATAGAGTTCTCTGAATGTGACCTCTGAAGTTAGGATCTGTTGAATTGAGAAGCTGGTTGCAAAACATTAAAAAAAAAAAGACTGGGACACTTTGATGAAATTTATTATTGAGCTGTGATCAAAACCTTCACAATGAGGCTAAAATCCAGCAAAAGTACTGAACCCAGCAAAAGTACTGGAAGTGCACAGCCCCACCAGGGGAGATGCCTTGTTGGATCTGGTCCTGGTCACGGGCAATGACTTGGTGAGGGGTCTGCGGGTGCTTGACCACCTGAGTGAAAGCAATCATCACCTGCTGGAATTTACCATCCAGTGCAAGGTGGCAAAGGCCTTCATTAAGGCAGCAGTCCTGGACTTCAGGAGGGCAGATTTCAATGAGGTAAGGAGAATAGTTGGGGAGACACTGAGGTCCTGGAGGGGAGGGGAGTTGGGTGTCCAAGAAGCGTGGTCGTTCCTTAAGGAGATGATCCTCCAAGCCCAAAGGGAGGTAATCCCCACATGGATCAAAGGGGGCAAGAGGGCACAAAAGACCCCATGGCTCACCAAAAGCATCTGGGAACATCTAGCTAAAGAGGCATACACCCAATGGAAAGGAGGGGCCATCACCAGGGAGGACTATACCTTGGTTGCTCAGGGCTGTAGCGGGGCAGTCAGGAAGGCCAAGGCAGAGATGGAACTAGGAATAGCTACTCAGATCAAGGACAACAAGAAGTCCTTTTTTAAATACATAGTAGGTAAAAAAAAAAGGTACTGGGCAACGTGGGGTCTCTGCAGGACACGCTAGGAAATCTGGTCATCACACCAGACAGCAAAGCTAACCTATTTAACAATTTCTTTGCCTCCATTTTTCTGAGCAGGGAAAGGGTGATCCCCTTCACTGGGATCCCCATAGGCCTAGGGTTAGAGAGGGACTAGTCAGGGAACTTCTGGAGGGACTGGACATATTTAAATCAGCTGGTCCTCATGATCTCCACCCCAGAATGCTGAGGGAATTAGCAGAGGTCACTGTGGGACCCCTGGCATGGCTTTATGAGCACTCATGGTGCTCTGGTGCTGTGCCAGAAGACTGGAAAAGGACCAATGTGGTTCTCATTTTCAAAAAAGGGAGAAAGGAGGACCCAGGAAACTATAGGCCAGTTAGTCTTACCTCAGTCCTGGGTAAGCTTTTTGAGAGAATTATCCTGGCGCATGTGCATGAGGGGCCAGCAGGGGAGACTATGCTTAGGGGCAACCAAGTAGGTTCATTACAGGCAGGTCGTGTCAGACCAACCTGGTGGCCTTCTATCACCAGGTCACAAAATCCTTATATGCAGGTATAGCAATGGACAGTCTTTCTGGACTTTAGGAAGGCCTTTGCCACTGTCTCTCACCCCATTCTTATAAAAAAAACCTAGGAGACTGTGGCGTCAACACCTACACAGTCAGATGGGTCACTAATTGGCTAAAGGGCCATACCCAGAGAGTGGTGGTGGATGGGTCTTATTTGACCTGTAGGGATGTGGGCAGTGGGGTTCGCAGTGCTCGGTCCTCGGGCCCGCACTGTTCAACATCTTCATCAGCGACTTGGACAAGGGGGTAAAAAGCACCCTGTTCAAATTCACAGATGACACTAATATGTGGGGAGAAGTGGGCATGCTAGAATGAGGAATAGGTTGTAAGTGGACCTGGACAGGTTACAGGGGTGGGCAGATGAGAACAGGATGGGTTTCAACACTGACAATGCAGGGTGCTACACCTGGGAAGGAAGAACATGCAGCATACCTACAGGCTGGGGAACTCCCTTGTCATCAGTGCAAAGGCAGAAAAGGATCTTGGAGTCATTATTGATGACAAAATGAACGTGGGCTGACAGTGTGGGGACACAGTCACAAAGGCCAACCATACCTTGTCATGCATCCACAGATGCATCTCAAGCAGGTCCAAGGAGGTGATCCTCCCCATCTATGCGACACTGGTCAGGCTGCGGTTGGAGTACTGCATCCAGTTCTGGGCACCGCACTTCAAGAGGGATGCAGACAACGTGGAAAGGGTACAGAGGAAGGCCACCCACATGATTGGGGTCAGCAGGGCAGGCCCTATGATGAGAGGCTAAGGGACCTGAACCTGTTCAGCCTCCACAAGAGAAGGCTGAGGAGGGATCTAGTGGCGATTTACAAACTAGTCAAGGGGGACAAGCAGGCTTTGGGAGAGTCCTGTTCC